TAAGCAGCATCATTATATACAATTAATTATGAACAATATAAATTCTTAAATGTTACCTTTTAAATTTGTTTTGATCCTGTCAAATCAAATAATGTAAAGAAATTTACAAATTAATTGCTGAGTTTCTATTTCAGTGGTAGAAGGCTAGCCTAGCATGCTTAAGGCTGGGGGTTCTGTCTCTAGTACAGGAAAGGGAATGGAATGGAGCAGAACGAAACAGAAAAATAGAAAATAAAAATATTCTACCTCATATTTTAATGCAAAGGTCTGTGATATCAGCAAATTTGATAGAAAATATCACTCGTATTTTGGTTAAGAATATGCAAATCCAACCTTAAACTGGGAGAAGAAATACACTGAAGAAAAGTAGAAATTAGTTCTCTTTTTATTCAATACATTTCCTACATTATATTTCAAATTTGTAACTTCTACATAGATGCAGGACTCATCTGAGTAATTTATCCCTAAAGTCTCACTTCTTGATTTCTCAATTTGCACCAATAAATTTATTGTATTAATATTATTCACTTTGCCTTTCCAAGGCAAAAACAACTAGATGAATACAATAATTTTTGTCAGTTTGACTGTGATTTGGAATGCAGTGAGGAAAGGTATTGAGAAGGGAATAAAAGAACTGACACTGAAATATTATTTATCATACATTAATAGTTTTACATTTTCTTCTCTCTTTCTCCAAATGTGTACAATCGGTTATGGACTGGGTACCATTCTTCATCTTTGAAATCCTTAATGTCTTCCAACAGTCAGACCAAGCATATTTACAGATCTGAGTGGTATTTGCCAAAGTAATTTATCATATGATCTAATCATTAAAAATACTTGATATAATAAGTAGTGTTAAAATTAAATATTTCACTGAAAGTGTTTTCTTTAAACTTCCTAAAAGACTTCTAAGACCTACCTGGTAATGTGTTTTAAATTATAACATCTACAGAAAGTTCTGCTCTCTTAATTTTATATGCTTGGGAAATGATATTTTAAAAATTTTAACATGTTTTCATCAAATTAATAAATCACACACACAATCAAAAGAAGATGATTAGTGATAAGTTCTAACGGTACCAAGATGAATTGTTAATGATCTTTTTAATAATAGGTTTGTATGGGATATACTAAAATAGAGACAGAGTAAATTAGAAATATATAGTAATCCAACCATTAATTTACGCCATATATATTATTCATCATATATATATATATATATATATGTATATATATACATATATATATATATATATGGCTAAAACTTTTATATCTGGGTCATTCTTGTTGAAAATGCATAAAGGAAGAGATGAAGCATACAGAATACATGCTAGAATAAAATGCTTTTTCAACAGAAAAAGAGGCTTGCTTGTTAAAAGACAATTTAAAAAAAATAAGATCAGCAGCTGCCACCTCACAGAAGTCAGATGTGATATTTATAGCTGGATATTCAGCCTGTAGATTTCCATAAAACTTTTAAATATGCATTGAAAATATGAAGGATCATCTTCGAAATGAACCCAATCCATCAGTAATTTACAATCCATTTTACTCTTATTCATTTTTAAGTATGTCTGTGGGATTGTTAAATATACTCAGTGTTTCTCATTATTCTTAGACATTTTCGGGGTATTTTCACTTCTACTGTGCATGTAGGTGTCTGTATAAGTCTTTCCTAGGAACTGGAGGATAGATATTGAGTGTTATTATCTACCAATGTATTATAAAACATGCAGTAAATGAAGGATGTTCATGATAAAAGATGACTCTCTTATCTTTTGCTTTCTTATAGAATTTGCTTCTATCTGGTACTACAAAATATCTCTCAACTTTCTTCCATTTGGTTAATGCTAAAATGTATATCTCATATTCACTTGACTGAGATTCATGAATATATAAATACTAAAAGTTCTGTCGTATGTTAAAAATCTCCATTGTATCAAATTTTCTTTAATATTCAAAGAAGCTCTCAAATTGTAGGACATGCTATTTTTTTAACTAATTTTTGTATATTTCACTGAGTGCAGTGATCAACCAGAAGTTTGCATACAGTAGAACTTGCAAAAGCAGAAGGACAAAGATTTGTTCAACTCTACAATTACTAAATTTGTCACATTTGATTAATTCAGTTGAGTCTGATGTGTCATTGCTGATTTCATTTATAAAATTGAGATGATACTTTCTGTGATAATACAATTTCCCACAACTCTGAAATTATGTCATATCTAAGGAATAGAAACAAATATCTTAGAAAATAAATGATTTTCTAAACAAAATGGCAAAGTATTGGAGTCTGGAATACATTCATAAAAATGATAAAAAGTTTTCACAAAAATGTATTTGATAACAGATAAAAGCACGTTTAATTTTATTCCTTTATGCTTCTTTGATATAAATAACAATAGTATTATTTTCTAAATTATTGCTCACTTCAGCAGCACATAAACTAAAATACTGCCTAAATTAAATTCAAATCATACTGAGTTTAATTCACTTCCATGTACCAGGAAAAATAAGCAAAACAATATCTAACATTTTATGACACTATTATGGCTTATAGAAAACTCTGTAAAACATATGTGTGTGCAAAGAAAATTATTTCAATAACTACATGTAATAAAATAGCAAATATTCTTGTTTATGCAGGTTCTTATTAGATGCATGTATAAAGATACTCATAATGACTTTATATGTGATTCAAGTAACTTTGTGATCTTTTCTAATTGTTATATTATAACATTTAATTTTTCATGGTCTTTATTAAATAATTTTTAATAGTAAGCTGGGAAAGAAAGAAACAGGAAATAGAAATGAACAGTACTACATAAAATACAGGAATTTAATTTAGACAAAGTACTATGTGTCACAGAATGTGACAAAAAGATAATTTAATAAGTAACAATTTAACTACTGTAATTTTAGTTTCCTTGACTAAATTACAGTATCTGGAAAAATCATTCTCAAATATTAATAATTTTACGTACATTCTCAGATGTCATTATGTTGATATTTTTCATTTTTTACTTCTAAACATGTCTAAAATTAGTGTGAAACTTAATAAGCAAATAAACATGATGTGCACTAATAAAAGACACATCTAAAAAATTCAACAAATGGTCTTATAATGAGCAAGAGAGACAGTTGATGAGACAATACTCTGCAACAGATAGAAAAAGAGATCAGAAAAGTAGTTGAAGTTTCAATGTTTTAAATCCACAAAAAACATAGGAGAACAGAATTTATTTACTTTTATTACCTAGACACTTTATTGTGTTTCTTTTTAAAAAATCACAGAGGTCAAATTTAGAGGTAATTGCTAAGGAATTTTCAGTTACTCTTCTTGAAAAGCTAAGACTATAACCAGGGACTAACCCATGAGGCTCTCAGACAGCCTCTGCACCTTCCTGATTTCCCTGGTTCCAGGTCCCTGAAAACGGAGACATTTTCTAATCCACGGAATCTTGAAAATTAGCTTAATTAATTAATTAATTTAATGAGAGCCATCGAACTAGCTAAGCCCACCCCTTCAGGCTCCAGCTCTCTGTTCCCCTGTATCACTGTGGCACTGTGTGTGTGGCTCAGCCTATTAATCTCCTCTTCTTTGGAAGAAGAGACAAACAAAAAGCAAGCAAGAATCTAGAAAGGACAACAAAATACCATTCATTTCGCTGTCATTGTTTTCTGTCCAGTGTCAAAAGAATCACTAAATCTTACAAAATACGAGAAGACTGAATTTTGTTTGTCATGTACACTGTGTCTTCTCATAATTGTTGATTGTGAATACATATATTTAGCATGTGCCAGTTAGGCTACTCTTTCAATGCAGAAATGGGAATCTGAAAATTTTATCAAAGAGGTCAAAGAAAATTAAAGCTTAGATCCTTAGAGTCATTATAGAATGGAGGGTTTCTTGGTGGTGACGCTAGGGCATGCATGCTACAGTGATGCTGCTTGTAGGCCCCAATCCTTTTTCCTGTAATCCAGGCCTCTCTTCATGATAGTGAGCATTTTAGAGCTTTCAGTGATACAAGCAAACATTTGGATTTTCACAATTAAAAAATAAAATAGATTCCCCTCCATACAATACAAAGTATTTCTATAAAATTGAAGAACTGTGTTACCCAGTGTTTTTATGTTCGGTCAAAGGTAACTATCTTGGGATTAAAATTTAAAATTCCTAGTTATTTGGAGGAATCACCACACTGATTTCCACGGTGGTTGCTCCAGTCTACACTCTCTTCCCTGGAGAAGGGTTCCTATTCCCTTACAGTCTGATAGCATTTGTTACTAGTTGATTTTTTTTTTTTTTTTCTTTTTGTACTGGGGATCGAATTCAAGACCTCATGCTTGCCAGGCAGGCACTTATACCGCTGAGCTGAATTCCTGCCCCCCACTAGATGATTTTTTTATGACTGTCATTATTTCTGGAGTGAAATAGAATTTCAGTGTTTTTTTAATTTGTATTTCTCAAATGGCCAATGATATTGTACATGTTTTTCATATCTTAATTCACAACTTCAAATTCTTCATCTGGGAAAATTCTGTTCATTTCAGATGGCCATTTTTAGATTGAGTCTTTACATTTGTGGAGGGTGATTTTTTTGAGTTATTTATTCTAGACAATAGTCTTTTATCTGAGGAACAACTGGCAATTTCCCCCCACATTATGTGTGGTCTGTTCACTCTGTTAGTAGTTAATATAAAACAGATTTTTTGAAATATGAAGAAAATATTCAAATGGAAAGTGGAATTAGGGAGAGGAAAAGGAAGAAAGGGAAAATAAAATGAATGATGAGGAAAAAGAAAAAAATAGAGGCAAAGTTTTATAGATAGGGAGACACAGAGAAGTTGGAGGGTAGAGAAATGGGGAACAAAAAAGAATCTGTTTATATCATGTACAGGCACACATTTTCTATAATGAGTGTGATTGTTACATATACCTAAAATGTACCAATAAACAATTAAAGAAAAACATAAAATTCTCCACTAAACAAAACGGCAGAAATCATGCATCTTTTTATTGGTCATTGTCTGTTGCTAGGACACAATTCAAGACATTCACAAATTAAGTGAGGAGGAGTGCATTCTACTTCATAGTTTCAAAGGTGTCAGTCATGGATGGCTGGCTCCAAGGCAAAGACAGCTTGGTAGAGGGCAGAGGGCATGGTGGCATGATGAAACTGCTCACTTCCATGTACCTAGGAAGCAGAGCAGGAAAGAGTGTTGTCCTTCACTGTCATGCTGCGAGTGCCCACCACTACCGTCAGCTTGTTTGGTTATGAAAATAGTGATTAATGCTATGCCACTGTGATCCAATCTCTCCATGAGTAAATTAATTCAAGCAATTTATTAAGGTTAATTGGCACAATTTTTTTTTTTTTTTGGTTATCATGACTTGAACTCAGGACCTCACACTTGCCAGTCAGGTGCTACACTACTGAGCTAAATCTTGGCTGAATGATACAATCATTAAATTTTTTAATATTTAGTGTGGGTGGATATTTGGTATAGTGTTTATCTTAACTTTGCAAATGTGTTTTTTACTGTCTTTATTAAAATTTCTATGTCCAATTTCACAAAAACAGAGGTCTAGGACAGTGATCCCATTAAAATTTTCAGAAAGATTTTATGCATGGAATAAAATGATTAAAACAAATAATAGCATTTAGAAGTACAAAAAAACTCAACTGAACAAATTCTTTTCCTTTGGGGCAAAAGTAAAATGATTTTAACATAATTATCTAATAAAATTATTCTAAATTTGCAACTTGTATAAAGATGAAATTCTAAATATGGAAGTAAAAGTATTAATCTTACACAAATTAATAGCATTAAAAGTTTCTGTTGTGTTTTGATTTTTAAACTGTAAATATAAATAACACAGTTTCTGAAATAGAAGACAATTTATAACTAAAATTAAACCAAAATGAAAAATTTATAAACCTTGTGAAATAATAAAATAATTATACATAAACTTATTTAGCAAAGATCAATGCAATTTTGATGAACTGAAGAAATAAAAAGATTAGAAATTCTATTAGCTATAAACAGGAACTAAAACAAGATATGTGATTTAGATATCCAGAACAACATTCTTTAAATTAAAAAAAAAAAAACTTCAAATATTAAACATTAGAGAAATATACAGAACCAAGAACAAGGATACTTAACAAATACAAAAGAAGTTAAATGATTTTGGGACTCATTTGCACCAATTTGTGAAATGCAGACAAAAATTCTAGCAATTTACACATTTTTTTATTCATCATTTGCAAGTTTAGAATTTGGAGAATTGCTGAGCATTATAAGCGGTACTGAAAGCTATTACCTCTCCCCGTTCTGTACTCTAAAAATTTTTACCTTCATTCCTTAGTTTAAGTATTTAATTTCCTTAGTCTTAAGTATTTAGGAAAATTCATAATAGATCATATACTTTAATCCATCTAGTCCTTACCCAAATCTTTACTGTAAAAATTAGTATTCATCGAAGATCCCTAGAAGATGCAGAGTCTTTCCATCTGCTATCAATTCTTAATTTTAGTTTTGCTTTAAGATATAGCAATAGAAGACAGAGATGCTTATTTAAACCTTCTGCAGGTGTGCACTTAGGGATCTCTGGCATCATGCCATCAACCTATTTTGAGAGATGATAAGGTAAGCTACTCTGGAAACATGCTAATGTCTTTAGGATGCTGAGCAGTGTATCCACCTCTATATTACGGAGTGTCAGCTATCTCAGAATCCACTTAAAATATGCTATTGAGAAGTGCCTATGTGTACTAGTAGCTACTTAATAATTTTGATTATGAATAAAAATTTATTTTGTGCCTTAAAAATCTAATAAATAATACTCTGCCCATTACAGGTATTGTTAATTGCTTTTTTTTTTTTTTTTTTTTTTTTTTTATCAGTACCAGGGATCGAACTCATGACTGCCTGCTTGCAAGGCAGGTGCTTATGCCACTAAGCTAAATCCCCAGCCCCAATTGTTTTGTTTTCATAGCTTTTACTTTGCCACTATTCTGACTCTACAACTCTAATATTTTTCTGCCCTTATTTTTTATTCCCTATTTCTTCATTTTAAAAAACATTTGTCTCATTATATGATATGCTTAATCAGAAGCCATGAACATTTTTCAGAATGTCAAAATAAAAATGAAATAGGCTGAAACAATCAAGTATTAATACAGATACTTGAAACAAGAAAGTATAATTCCCAACCCAATTCTGTAACAATGTATGGTTTTATTCTGTTATATACAGAGTCTGATCGAATCTGCTGAGTCTCTAAAATGGTTTATTCTGAAATGTTTGGATCTAAAATTGTTCCCCTTCTCAAAGGTTTTATTGTATATATGAGCATTTGCTTAAAAATATGCACTTTCTTTATGTGACCTATTGTTACATTTTATATTGGTATCCCCATTTAGAATAGAGATTCCATTCTTTTACAATTGTAAGTCTATGGTTGTTATGTCTTATATACATTTCTCCTCAAGACTGCATTCCTTCAGAAGTGCAGCTGAATCATGGGTGTGATAACTGGGTTAAACAACTGATTGGTTTAGCATAATTCTGGGTGCAGATAAGGAGAAGCCCCACCCTGGGTGGGGATTAGACCAATTGATGGGCTATTAGCCTGAATGAAACAAAAAGAGAAAGCAAGGCTAACTGATGGGTACTAGCTGCCTGCTAAGCCATGAACTGCTTCTCCTCTCCCATGTCCTTCTGCTGTGCTGTCCCTCTTGGGACAGCACAATACACAATAGTCAGCTGACTACACAATAAAACCCATACAGAATGTGAGTTACAGTCAACTTCCTCCTTTTACTTATGGGTGTCAGGTATTTTGTCTCAGCAATGAGAAAGTAACTAAGACAATTCATTTTCTATGTGGAAAAGTGAGAAATATGCATAAAATACAAGGATGTGTGAGAATTCCTTACACAGAGACAAAGAAGCAGCATACTTAAAATGAGGTTAACAGAGTTGGGAAAGATGTCTATAAATCTTTTTCACAATGGTCCATCTTATTGTCTTCCATGCAGTAAAGACTTAAGATACCAAATCCTGAGCCGATAGGCTGTGTGTTTTAATATTTAACAAAGCTCTTTAATTGAATACAGTTATCAATAACCAATAAAGCAATATTTAGGCATTATGGTTTAAAATGTCCATACCATAAATATATAACTAAGGAAAGCAAGTAATGCTTCACACAAGAATTAGAAATTCCAAAGCTATAGATTAAAATATTTTATGAAAACTAATAGTAATACTACAGGGAAATTGTATAATTTTTCTAAGTTTACCAAAAATATATATTTACTTTATGTCAGTCTTTCAGATGCTTTGTAGTATCAAAATATAAAGTGTGGGAAATAGTTGTCTTTGCTTTGAATAGCAAATATTTGCAGAATCTCAAATTTTAGAGAAAACAGTATATCTAAAATGAATATTATACATTCTAAATAAGTGTACAATACACAAGTTCAACTTTAACAAACACAGTTATTTAGAAGAAAATTTTGATTATAACTTTCAGTGTTGCTTTTAATAAAATCTCAATTACAGTAACTATTGATGAATTCTATCTTTTGTGAAATCTTGCAAAATATAATTTAATATGCAAAGATTTTCCTGAATTTGTCTTGTTTTTATTTAAAGCTCTTAAATAAAAAGACATAGTTCTTTAAAAAAAAAAAGACATAGTTCTTATTGTTATTATATGACTACCCTCAAGGGAAATATACGAAACTCATTTACTTTAAAAATAAAATTTTAATAATTGATTTATATTAAATGAAGGGAGTGAGAACTTGGGGAAAAGAGTTTTGTTTTTTCTTTTTTGTGCTTTCTGTTGACAAAAGATAGGTGTGTTCTTGATGAAAATAGACATGATGCTTTAAAATTATATTTTAAAATGTAGGTCATAAAATTTCTAAACTAATGTTGTTTTTATACATTATCTGGCTCATATAAGAAGCAGTTTAATTTTAATAATATTCAATTAGTTATTAAACCCATACAAATCCACTGTCTCTACAATCTTTTCTACTCCCCTAGGAACCAAGTTTCCCCAGGAGCCCTTGAGGGTCACATTTAAGCCATATCCAAACTTCGTAACTAAAAATGATTTTTTTCCACAAAGAAATGCATTCTAGCTTGAATAAATAATCTCCATCTTATTGGACAGACTTGATTATCTATTCTTACATATAAATTGAATTTTAAAATATAATTTTACTTGGTTCTGTCATATTATGTGCTTTTGGGATCTGGTCAATAATGTAAGAATGTCCTCATCATAAACAATTGAACAAGATGATGTGCATATATAAGATTGTTGCTTCCACTCAATGATATTTTCTAAATAATTATTGAGAAAATATTAGTGGTTGTGTGTTATAATCAAGACTGAACAATTAGTCACACAATTAGAATATCTGAGACAATGTCACCATAATTTTTATGAAACAGATGAATCTGAATGTGTGAATTTTATGAATCATAATTACACTCGTATATCTATGCCTCAGGTTGGGTCCTGAAAGCCACCCTCACATGGCAGTGTGTTAAAGACGTATTCTCATAGTCCCCTGCTTGGTGACTGGAAAGTGGAAACTTTAATAGGTGCTTTTCCCTGGGACTTATAACCTATCACACCACAAAGAGCAAAAGAGACAAAAGAATATTGCCTGAAATTTCCAAAACTGTGAGCAAAAATCAATGTTTTCCTTGTTTGTTTGTTGCCTTTTTTTCTGTTATTTGTAACAGCAATAGAAAGCTGACACACTTTATTAAGTGCATATGGTATATGAATAATTTTAATGCATGGATTTTTATCATCATTGATAAGGTTATCATTTATATAGATTTTTGTTAGACATCAAGCTTCTCAAAGAAAGATATTATGTCTTGTTTACATCCATGTTTACTGTCCCTAATCTGTTGTACCATAACATACTACCCAATAGGTGAGTATTTCTAATTTTCATTTTCACAATACAGTAACATATACTTAAAATTGGGTGCATAAATGCCTTTTGACATCCTGTGGATGTTAAGTAATAGTTGAATGAAAGTGTGATGCATTCAAATAAAACTAGAGAAAGACCCTAAGATTTCCTCCTATCTATATTGCCACTTTTATTTACCTTTCTCTTGGAAGTTTTTACTGAGTCATCTGCCATATTCT